GATTATTGTTTAAGGTTGACGGACACGCATGTCTTAATTAGTTTTTTTTGTTTTGTTTTTTTTTTTACGAATTGGTCAAACCCAAACTCAAACAAAAACATTGTTTTCAATTGTTACGAGTCTACCGATTGAATAGAATTTTATTATTAATTTTATTGTAAATGGAATTTTTAAAGCATTCTGAATGTAAAAATAAAGAAAAAAGTGTGCAAGACAATAAGAAAGACTACCTGCCAAAAAAAGAGAAGCACTACATGCCTAAAGAAAAAAAGTGAAGTTTTGTTGAAATCGGTTGAAAAATGTAGGAAATCCGATCCCATATATAAACGAGCACACACACACACACACACACACACACACACACACACACACAAAATCTGGGTTTTATAAGTATAACTCGATATGAGTTGTCCCCCTTTCATTCTCGTGATGCCTCTTAATCGTGTTTTCAAATTGATTTCATGCAAAAACAATTGTGTTTTTCCAATTTTGGAGCCAAATCAGAACCACCGCAAGGTAATTTTACGTAGTCCTGTGAAGTTTTGTTGAAATCGGTTTTTTAAAAAATGTAGAAATCCGATCCAATATATAAACGTATACACACACACACACACACACACACACACACACACACACACCTGGTTTTTATAATAAGTATGATTAATGAGGTGTGTAATATGAGTGAAAGAAGGGGTAGGAGGAAACGAAGATTATCAGGATAAGGGGGATAGATAATGATTAACACTCGACTTGAAGAGGTTCAGGTTCTACTGTTCAAGGACGCACCCACGCCAAAGTCTGTCACAAAGAGGGAGTTCTAGGGGGAAAAAATTGACGGACTGAAACAAATGATTGATAAAATGTATTCATAAAGATTCCAACTCAAACACATTTATTCACTAACGTTTAAATTAATGCTAACTTAAATACCGCCCTATCGAGTGGCATTTAAGTAGAGGGATCTTGATTGCGCCGTTATCAGAATAGGTAGGAAGGAATAGATGCAATAGACAACAATAAAATACAAAACTCAAAATTGATCGCTGCATTTAAGTATTGCATTAATATTTAAGCTTACCTTTTAAAAGTTCAACAATAATTCTTCTGCGGCCACTTAATTTAAAGACAGTTTGATGTACGTAGGTCCTTACTTTCCGTACAAACATTTTTATTTCATGGGCGGATTTCGCAATTAATTTCGATTATTCCAAAATTTATTTTTATGTTATAAAAAAAAAAATGTCGCAAAAATCACTGAAAACAATCGCAATAATGAAAACTTAAGAATCCAAAATTTCAGTATTGCGGGTCTGGATCCAGCCCGAAATGTTTTTAATTTTCTCACGGAGTCGGCCTGATTCGAAAATGGTATGATATGTTGGGCTACAGCCTCTAGGAGTAAAGTTGAAAATGTGTGACACACTGACACTCGTATTTATTATATAGAAGAAATAATCTAGAGATAAAAAAAAAAAAATCCACCCGATGCTTAAAAATTTTTCACGAATGTAAAAGAAACAAATATAGACTTCTAATGTTTCCCCGAGTGCCCTCCAGGCCTTGTAAAGGGTGAATCTTACTGTAACAAAAAAAAAAAAAAAAAAAAAATGGTCCCAACGAGAGATGTGCATTTCTTAAGTAGGATAACTGGGTTATGCTTTGCTGGAGTGGCTTCTCGTAGCTTAATGGTAAAACACGCTTGAATGGAAAACAGTTTCCCAAACACAATCATAGTCTCCTCCCTCTCTCTCTGTATATATATATATATATATATATATAGGAACGCTTGTTTTGCAAAAATTCCATTGCTACAACAGATAAATTTATAATTTTAAAATAATTACAGAGTGCGTTCGCACGTGTTTTTAAAATCCCCATCACAACGGAATGCAGATTTTATCGCAGTTACAATAAGTTTGTCTTTGTAATTTACCTTTGAATATGATCTTGAAAAAGATCGAAAGTACTCGGGTTAACAAAATCTATGGCACCTTCTTCGGTGAATTTCATCTATGAAACATGTTTGAATGAATCTCTCTCTCTCTCTCTCTCTCTATATATATATATATATATATATATATATATAACGTCAAACGTTATTATTTTAGTGGATACTCTTATTCTCTTATTTGAAACAGACAACTAACTTTGTTTTTTTTAGTTTAAATAGTATATTTTATATCTCCCAGCCTGCATATTCGAGAAATCTTAATGAAGAAAATATGTTCCCCGACAGGAATCGAACCTGTTCCTCCCTTTGCAGGAGAAATCACCGTTTAATTCAGTGTGTTTTACTGCTCGGCTACGAAGAGCGTTGGAGTAAAAAATATAATAATAATGAGGAGTCTCTTTCAAATACGAGTATCCACTAAAATAACTTTTGAAGTAATAAAAATGGCGGATTAAAAATAAATTAATTATATATATATATATTATAATTATTTTTTAAAAATTATGATTCCATCGCGACACATAAATTACTGTTTCGAAACTGGTCAGCATTATTCAGATTTAATTTCAATATGAATCTTCTAAACATAGCCAGAGGATGAGGCTGCCACCCGGTAGTTAGGGTTTAATATTGAAATTAAACCTGAATACTGCTGACCAGTTTCGAAAGATAGTAATTTCTGTGTCCTGATGGAATCATATTTTTTTAAAAAAATATAATTATAATCTAGGCTGTATCGAGCAGTGTTTTTAAAAATAAAAACAAAAATGCTAATGAACTTCGGATCATCAATCTAACAATTCTTTCCTATTATATCAATACACATACATACATACATACATACATACATACATATATATATATATATATATAAAATTAAGAAAAATTTCAAAAAACCTTAAACTTGAAATTTTTCAGTTATAAACTTAAATTTATTTTGCAGTTGGTTTACAACGCATCTTCAGACTGGTTTGTACTAAACACAGGAAATAATTCATTTTTAGGAACTCACCGGGATTATACACATACCAAAAGGATTATCTCTGTGTGTGTGTGTGTGTGTGTGTATATATATATATATATATATGTGTGTGTGTGTGTGTGTGTGTGGAGAGCATGTTTTCGTTATTCTGAGCATATCCAGGTACGTAGGTATATATATATATATATATATATATATTAATAAGATGCTATTATATATCGGGAATACGGATTAGGAATAACATCACTGACCTTACGAACAACAGTCTGGTGCTCTTACCTCTGAAGAACTATTTGCAATTCCAACTATTTCTCACGCCGATAATATATAAACAGCTCAAGGGCAGTGTCTAAGAACACTTGAGAGAAATTTCATAGGTGGTCATTTAAGTGGTAGTGTAAAGTATATAGCAGTAGCCGAACTAAGAGTTTGGTGCTGTCATTCATCTTAGTAATTGCCAAAGAATTCAGGAGGAATTCTGCAGAAGAACTATCATCATCTAACTCTCACTTATTGCTGTCTATGTCAGGTTCTCGTTGCTGCCTGTTTCCCGGTTCAGATAGATAGAACCTTGATGAAGGAGATTGTACAAGCCTCTTCCTGACATTACTTATTCCCGAAGGCGCTTTAGAACGAAGCAAATCTTGACGCAAGCCTCAAGCATTTTTCTAGGCGACCTGCTCTTAGACCGATCTGACGATCAACAACTCATTGTTTTCACTGTTTGCGATGTGCTTATATTTGTATGTAGAGATAAGAGCCTACTTACAGCATTCACAATTCACAGCTATGTGTAAGGTTTAAATATGTGCCATGAGTGATACACGCTTAGGCGATCATGTACCTTTCGATACATGACTGACGAGGCAGATTTTTCCTGCAGTAGGTTGCCATTTCTTTCTGCGGTTGACCAGTTTCCATCCAAGGCTATAGAACCCGATCTGTCCTGCTATTTACCCATATTTTGTAGTAAGTCGTTTTAAATATTTTGCAAGTAACTCTTTTCCCCTTGACCATCCCTTTCGTCATCCATTCATAAACTAGTTAAGTAGGTTACTTGCAGTTTATCTTTGCTTCTCTTGCCTTTATTATGCCCTGTAAGTGTTAAATTCTCCAGGCCCTCTTTCCTCATTAAATTAAGAACGCGCAGTAGATTAAAAAAAAACAATAATGTCAATGTTTGTAATATAGAATTTGATCCTTACGGGGGATTCATCTCATTGGTCAATTGATTACTCAGCCACTTATTGAAGTTATTATGCCAGGGCTGGTCTCTTGCCCCCCCAACCACATAAGCGCCCTCCCCACACAAACCCTACTACATCTCCAGTTTTTCATAAAATCAGCCAGTTATGTGCCATGCGTGATACACGCGTAAATATCATGTATCTTTTGATATATGACACGAGGCAGATTTTTTCCCCGCATGGATGTTGCCATTTCTTTCTTGAGGTAGACCAGTTGCCTATCGAAGGATATAGAACCCGGTCTATGCTGCTATTTACCCATAGCTGGGGGAGAAGAAGAAGCTTTTACCTTTCCCATGTGTATTAGCACGTAAGTGAATGTAATGGATTTAACTGGAATTCGAACTCGGCTCTCCGTTTTCTCAATCCGAGTCGTTTGTTTAAATATGGATGTCTGTAGTGTTGCATATGAAAGTGTCTGAATAAATCCGTTTTTTTTTTTTTTTTTTTTTCAACATTATATGTATACATGCATTTGTTATATGTTCGAATGCATAGATATATTTTCCTTGTACATGTTTCAATTTTTGGTTGGTTGTTTTTGTTTAGCGGCACATCAACCAACCTATATGGGTTATTTAATGGCGAAATCTAAGTATATTGTAAGCGATTTATATGTTTATATTTTGGCGATAATAATGGTTTAGTGATATAAAAGTATTACTGATTAACCTGTAGCTGGGAAGAGAGGTGGATTTATATATTTCCCAACACCAAATTTACGCGTAAGTGGATATAACGAACCTAACTGGAATTAGAACTCAACTATCCGATTAACAGTTCCGAGCCATTATCCATTAGATCACTCGCACGTCCACACTTACAGCACTTGGTATTCCCAAGCGGTCACCCATCTAGATATTAACCAAGTTCGACGTTGCTTAACTTCGATGATCGTATGGGAACTTGTGTTTGTATGTGATGTGCCCATAAGTCAAGTCATATTCCTTTGAAATCTTTAGTTATTAGGTTGTTATACATAAATTTCCTTGAAATGGTTTCAAACTTGTTTTTTTTTTATTTTAATGCATCTACCGAACGGCATATATATAGACATTAGGGCAGGTGGATTTTTTATGATTTTTAGAAAATCAACATTGCGCTCGATGTAAGCACTGGGGTTTTTGGTGATAAGTATTGACACCAAAAATTAGATTAAAATAACTTTTACCAATTTCTGAACATTATGGTTTAAATATCGACTGAAAAATCTACAGAAATAGACCTAATTTCCGCAGGTATTTACTTACAAACCAACCTCAAAATTTTACTATTTCAAGAATAAATCCAAACGGAGTTGATATTTTTTTTATTGGATGGAAAATATATTGAAACAAGAATTCTAATTATAAGTCACCACAAGCAAAATTGACATTTTTTTTTACTCTATTCGATAAGTAAAAACTGTGTAAACAATTACAAAAAAAGTCTACTCAATGAATAAGATTTGTTAGATCATAATTAATAAAAAGAAAACATAGATAAAAGTGTATATAACACCATAATACTGCTGCGCACAAATTATAAGACACAATGTTTTAAATTTGTATTGTTTATTGAAAATCGCAGTAAAACTACTGCACAGAGTGCACTGTATATCATAATATAGCTAAATTGTTTAGTATAATTTCCTTTTCAAGTAAATGAAGGTCTTATTTGATGGCACAAGGATTTTGTAATTATGTGCTTGCGCCGTGCATCTTGTAAATTTTATAAAGTTGTGCTAAAAGGCTTTCATTGATCGCCAGAACGAAATTCCAACGTTACAATTTTGAACCTAAACTTAATTTTTAAATTCGTCTGCTCAAAAACACGGAAAAGATTTCGAAAAAAACAAAACAAAACACAAATGTGTCGCTAGTTATCATGTCAAACTCCAACTTTCAAATTGAATGCAATATCACGATTCCAAAATCGCACCCCCTACCCTAATATATATATCTCCACGCCTAATTATTTTATGGAAATCTCCGATTAAGTGGAAAAGGTTTTTTTAAATATATGTTTTGGCTATACAGAGATTTGAAGCAGCAAAAATGTGGTTCTACAGAAGGACGCTGAGAATACCGTGGGTGAGCAGCTATGAAGTTTCTGTCTATATTTCTGAGATTGTTATTATTTACACTATTTACGTTGTTCGGATTGTTGTCCTCATCTTTGTTGACATATTCACGACGTTTCGGTCGTTATACGCTTCGGCCTTCTTCAGGTGATTGGAATTTCGAACTGAACCCTTTGTTTCGTCCAGCGAGGTAGATTGTTCTGGTTCCACGTGCCATGCCTCTTCCGGGTGTCTCAGTTATCTCCCTTTAACTCAACTCTCCTGTAGTAGCCAACTCTTTGGGTCAAGTCACCGGATCCAGCCAATGCTTTTATCCACTTGGCCATGTGTATGAATTTTGGGGACTTATAAACCTAATGTCTTAGTAATCATTTTTACCAGAGCTCATATTACAAATTTTGTTGTTATTGTTTTTCTCTAGCACTCCGTATTACTGGTTCCCATATTGTATTTATTTCTATGCTTGGCCGACTTAGGATATTTTTGTGGCCTAGCATATGCGCTGGTTTTTTAAGCTTTCGTATTTTTCAGTGATGTTCTCTGTCTGTTATTTCAACCTCATCCCACAGATTGTCCTGATGTGATATGGACCACAGATCTTTTGTATTTTTTGCGATAATCTCTTCACATCGAGTAGGCAGATCAAAGCTTTTTACAAGTGTCGTTGTCCTTTTGTACCCTTCGGAGCTGTTGCCATGTACCCCGGGTTGTTGTTACATTGTAGGCTACTGCTTATATTGACCATTACTTGTTCATATGTATCTGGGTCGCTACTTATGACTTTTACTCGATGTTGTAAGCAGAGGATTATCACTTTCTTTACACTGTATGGGAAGTAGGAGTTGAAGTTGAGTTATTGTTTAGTGAATGTTGGCTTGCAGTATACGGATGTCCTGAACTCATGCTATATTCGAGATCGAGTACATCCAGGAATGCTAGTTTGTTGTCGTTTTCTCTCTCCATTGTGAACTGTATCGATGATCTTATTGAGTTCACATGGTCCAGTAGTAATTGGACCTCTTCCTGGTGTGACCAGGGTACGAAGGTATCATCTACTTATCTCAGCCATAGACTTGGCTTTAGTGATGTGAATTCTAATTCCATTTCTTCGAAGTATTCCATGTATATGTTTGCCATTGCTGGTGATAATGGTGAGCCCATTGCTAGACCTTCATCCTGTCGATATACGTCTGATCCCATTCTGAAGTATGTTGTTTGTGTACAGAAAGTCAGCATCTCCATCAGGTTATCTATTCTTATACTGAGCCAGGAAAAATTGTAAAAAAAAAAAGAGGGCACGGCACATAGAAGAAGTCTAGTAAATTTCATTATGTTTATGTTTCTATCACTTTTGTTATTAAAAATCCCACATTGGGATAATCCAAGATCCGCCAAGAAAGGTGAAATGTTGCAAGAACCTGGATTAAATTTTACTGTGGATAATGTAGAGATTATAGAAAGTGGTTTAATCGTTAGATCATCCACTGTAAATTTACGTCCAGGTTCTTACATTTCAACTTTCCTTGCAGATGTTATCACAATGTGGGGTATTTAATAACAAAAGGACGGCTTGTTTTTAGCCATTTATATATATATATATATATATATATATATATATATATATATATATATATATACACACACGTTTGATTTAAAAACCAACGAAAATTCTTTATTGATTTTTTTTTTATTCAATGTTTTTCGATTATCAGTTTCTATTTGTAAATATATCTTCACATGTTTAAGCACTTTCAGCAAAGATTAGCCATTTTCAGAAAACCTTTTTGTTGCTTGATATGTTGTCAGTTTAATTTTTAATTTTTAGAATTTGCTCCATATATATATATATATATATGGAGTAAATTCTACTCCATTGTACAAGAAAGTCGCTGACCTTATAAGGTCGTGTTTTTAATCCTGCTGGGTGTCTAGCCATCCAACGCACCAGGAAAGCCTGGTGTAGGAAGCCGGTTTCAGTCGGCGATGACCCCCTACATGCGGCAGGTAGTACTGGGTTATATGGTAGCAGTAGCGCTCGTAGAGTGGCTGGATATAAATCCTAGCTATTTTAAATTTGAATTGTTAAGGCTAATAATACTTTGCAATTGATCCGAGCTGCTTCAAATCGAAATACTGCAATTAAGGGATAAATAATGTGAGGAATAATAGTCCAGTAATATCGATGTGTATCAGCCATACTTCATCTTGTAAATTTAGAAGTTCAGATTTCAAGTAGAGAGAAAGAGAGAAAACGAGGCGAAAGATAGTTTCAAAGTAAATTTAACCATTGTTTCTCTTCCTGCAGGCAAATTGCTTGGTGGGGGTGTTCTTAAATCCGTCACTGAAGAATCAATACAATCTTTGTTTCATTTCAGAGCGTGCGGCTACTTACTTATTCAAGCTATAGAACTCGGGGCATTTTTGTTCCTAAACTGCCAAGGTAACCTTGCAACGACTGGGATTTGACCCGTTTTTGCGTCTAACAAAAGTTACTGACCTTCAAAAGGTTTTTTTTCTTTTTAAAAAAATCATTTCAGCTCAAGCAAAACAATAAAGCCACTAAGACACAAGGTTTACCGCGTGTGAGAGAATAAGAAAAAGAGAGCCGTTATTAAGGATCGAGGACAATAAAAGAAAAGAAAACAAGAAGATAGTAGATAATTTTCAATGCATTTAAATTTCTGAAGTTGGCTGGGAATCATGAAGCTGGAAGAGAGATCCACAAGCGAGAAGTGCGAGAGAAGAAACTGCTTGCATAGAACTTACGGTTGCATCTAGTCTTCAACTGTAAATTGATAAGACCTTGTTGCCAATCTTGTACTGCGCTTAAATTCATAAAGTCTAGGTACCATGCTGGAAAGTGCATCAAAACAATTGCCTTGAAAGTATTTATAGAAAAAGCACAGGGAAGCTACAATACGGCGGTGGGAAAGTGACTGAAGCCGAGATGCCAGGTCAAGTCCATTAACGTTACACGTTTTGCTTTAGTTTTTAACAAATCGGGGTGGTGGCACGAGACCCTTGGACTGCCCTGCTCAGCTTGCAATCACACTACAGCAAGCTCCTTTTCAGCAAGAGCACCAGACTAGATGTGGCAGCAGTATGCAAAGCATACTCAAGTTCACAGAAGCGTTTCTTAAATGAACTTGTTATATCCATCGATAAATATACTATATATTATATATAATATATAATAAACTACTTCCTTATTTCATAGACAATAAATTTGGGACACAACCCCCCCCAAAATGTGAAGAACTCGTCCCGAAAAAGAATTACATTCCACCATATCCTATTTTCCACTGGAGGCAGTTGTGAAAGCTAAGATAAAAGCCATGATTCTCGATGATGGTTTTCAAGACAGATTCGGCCCATATGGAAAATTGGTGCAGCACAATCTTTCTAATGTTACTTCTCTCTACCTGGTTGTGAGAAGATTACCTCTTCCTCAAATTGTTGGTTTGTTTTGCCTGTTTTTGTCTAGCTGTATATCAACATCTAGGTGTCATTTAATGCCGAAATTTAAATATTTTGTACGCAATTTTATGCCTTCAAATACAGATATTTTGTACTTAATTTTATACTTTCAGGATAAACATATGTTGTTTTTTTTTTAGATATATGGTTTGTATATAATCTATGGTTTATATATATGATATATGATATATGATATATGGTTTATATATATGTTTTTTAGATATTGGTTTGTATATATTTTTTTAATATATATGGTTTGTATATATTAGATATATGACGGATTATTGCAGATGTTATTTTTTAGTATTCAAAATATGTTATTTTCCTTGTAGTATTTATATCTTACTTGCCCGTGCTTGATTAAAAAATCGTACGA